ACGGAGAGCGCACGCCCTTCGGGGGCAGGAAGGGAACATCCGGGTTCCCACACAGGAGGGGTCAGCTACTGGTACCTGGAGACGGCGTGTGGTTTTGGGTCGGTTTGAGTCCGACATAATCACCCACTGGTGGGTGGTATCCGAGGGGAGTTCCACACAGAAAAAAAAAAGAAAAAATAGACTTTGCTTTCATAGTGTGTATTTTGTTTTTTGGTCTGCGTCTCTGAAACAGAATAATTTTCCCCGTTTTCGCATAATTTTTCATTGATACTCCTCCTATTGGTCATAGCGTGATGTTATATAGTTTATGTGCCTTGATAACTGGGCTATCCAATACTAAAATAATTTTTCAATTCAGACCAGTAATTCCAGCGATTAGCGCAAACAAACAAACAAACTTTAGCTTTATAATATAGTATATGTATTCTAGTACGTTGTTTGCGATGGTTCCAGACGACTTATAATAATTGCTTCACAGTTAAGCGTTCAGTCTGAAAGTACTGCAAGCTCGTTGTACTGTATCGTACGAAAAGAATTTCCTTACAAGGACGACAAAATGTAGATATCCTTATTGATTTTCCATAAAAATTAAGTTTTATAAAAATATATTTAAAGATTAACAAGGCCAGCTATGTGAACGTATCACCTGCAAAGCCTGTAGCCCACCATTACCACTTTACCATGGGTTTATAATAATTATATCTGACGGAGAACCGGTGTCTAGGTTGTTTTTAAAAAGATTGACGTCAGCAAAGCTGACATCGTGTTTTACGTTGTCGTGATTTTCCTTCATAAAAGCTGTAGTAAATAAATACAGTAAATACGATTAAAGATGTGATCCAAGTTTGTACTAACAGTTTTACATAGATCCGTACAAACGTACGGAAGTAAGTAAGAACAACAGTAAATACAATCAAAGATGCATTCCAAGTTCTTACCAAGAGTTGTACATAGATCCATACGGTCGGCCGGTAGTAAACAAAGACAACAGTAAATACAATTAAAGGTGTATTCCAAGGTCTTACCAACAGTTGTATATACATCCGTACGGTAGTAAATAAAGACAGTAGTAAATACAATCAAAGATGTATTCCAAGGTCTTACCAACAGTTGTATATACATCCGTACGATAGTAAACAAAGACAACAGTGACAAAGGTGTAATCCAAGGTCTTACCAACAGTTGAACACAGATTCGTACGGTAGTAGATAAAGACAACATAAAATACAACTAAAGATGTATACCAAGGTGTTACCGACAGTCGTACATAGATCCGTACAGTCCGACGGCTCGAGCGATCTGCGCTCCCACTGTCACTCGTTTTTATACTAAGCGACGATCCACGTGGTGTTTTAGGATAAGTATTCATCACGATAACTATTAATAAAATTCGTCGTAAATAGACTTTGAATTCATATTTCCTACATTAATTAAGTCATTAATAATTAAATTACGCGAATAAATTAACTATGTATCACTGTACTGTTCCAGAACTTTAACATTTAAGTAGTTGCACCGACATATCATTGATTTCAAATTCCTAATGAGTCAATGAGTCAATCATCATTCGAAATGGTCCCTTTTTTAATAAGAACAAAAAATTGTAATTCATTGCAAAAATAGATTGTTTTGCCAAATAAAAAAATATAAAAAAAGCTGGATAGGAAATAATATCTGTCCCTTTGTCGAAACCTTTGCCTCATAATAAATAGTTAAAAGAAGATAGGAACTGAAAAGCTAAACATAGTATAAACCACTTAAAGCTAGAGCAAGCTAAAGTGAGGTGGAGTCGATGCCAAACATAAAACGAACCTCAGTTTTTTCACTTGTTATAAAGAATTGATTAATAATAAACTACCTTGCTTTATTTTTAGGCTATCAATAAGTAGGTGATGTGTCATCAATTCAAGTGGCGTTTATCATTAATATCCCTGAAGCCATAAAGTTATAAATGCGACATTCGGGCCGGCCTAATGGTGCTTGTGCAATTAGCCAAGACAATTAGTACTCGAGTGCAATAATTGGGCTTGGGTACTTCAAATTTATAGCTACACCACATAAGTTTATCGTTGCATAATTAGCCGACATGTTATTATATAACCTATGAGGTAAACTGAAAATTTAGAATATGAAAATAGTTAAGTAAATTTCAGTCTGCTGACATTTTATCGACGCTGCGATATGGTATTATTCTCTGGGGTGACTCTACGGACTGGTCTTTAGCATTCAAAGCTCATAAACAGTGCATTAACTCACTTTATTGAAAATAATATGTTAGCGCTACCTTGCATGTACAACGTTTTGTAAGAGTCATCTTAAATTCTCATAGTAGCTCTCAGTGAATACTGAAACAAGAACATGAATTAGAACTAGTATTATGAAGGAGTCAGCACACCATTCATAGACTACAAGATCTAAAATATACTCCCATATTTTGAAATAAATAATGTATTTTTTCCTCAACTGTTAGTGATATATGTGTATATTTATATAAATGATAGGTAGCACCTGTTTTACTAAAGACGGTGCGACTATAGACGGCCTATTCCCCCTCCCCTCTTAGAAATAAAACACCGTTACCGATGATTTGCCGCATTCTATATTTATAAGCTAATTTAAATTTTGTGAACACCTTGATAAATGAAAATAACAGCAGGGGTCTATTACCCTAACTGGCGTATTAACGCGTCTGCTCACGACTGCTTCGGAAATTACATGCATTTGATGGCTAGGGGGAATTAATCGAGCTTGCCGACGGAACAGAGTGTCTACACTCCATCACCGCTAATATAGAACAGTTTTAATGTGTCCTTGTAAATAGATGTCATATCACTAAATTAGGCAATAGAGTGGATCTTAGTTAAATTTTTAAACAACAAAATGCCATGAAATATTTGAAAACAAAATTAAGCTTATTTAAGTCATTGGATTTTTATTGTTTGACAACAAAAACCTATTTGAGACTTCATTTGAGCCTCATTTCGTTTACTAAAATGCACATTTTGAAGTTGTTTACTCCTCGTACAAAGTGGTTCATAGTGATTTCTCGTGATAATCTTGTAGTAAGTGAAATTCACCTATATCAGAACGCCACACTCTTCCCTAACAATAATATTACAGTACCCAATAACTTTCTCTAGATAAAAGTAATTTTAGGAAAAAAATAAGTATTTCACCAAGTGAGTGAGGTTCCTAGAGCCCAAAATTTCTCCCCCAGATTCTGAGGAGAGGGAGTGAAAGGGCGGCAATGCAATTTTGCCTCCTAAGTTGCGGGTGTCGGCACCTACTATCAGGGCAACCTTTTGGTAAATGACGGAAGACCGTCTGATCGTTTTCCCACTATCATCATCAGCTTATCGCAGTCCACTGCTGGACATAGGCCTCTCCTATTGCACGCCACTTAGATCGATTTTGGGCTTCTCGCATCCAGCTCCTGCCAGCCATGCCATAAGAAACAAGATTGGTAATTAATTACAAACAGCAAGTTTATTATTATGACTTGCCAAATTAATTGATTTACTAATAATCCAGTAAACGACTCGATGGTCCAGTTAAAGGATGGTTTTTAATATTTCCTTGCCCAAACCAAGTCAGTCATTTCTAACATAATTTTATAAATTGCTATGTGTAGGTATTCTAGTAGTGTTCGCCTCACTCTTTACTTATTTACCTACACATCTACTTCAAATACTTATTCCGATAACGTATAAAGTTTTGATATCAAATAGATTGGCCGACAAAATAGGCCTCTTTCGGCGATTACAATGAATATTTTATTGAAACAATTCGATTAGAGAATGAGTTCGATATATACTGGCAGCGGAAATAAACAGGGGGTTATAGACTTAAGACATACATATTTAATACAAAGATGTGTTTGCCTTTAAATTTTTATATATTTTATACTGAGAGGTACTCTATAAAAAGAAGGATTCACCGTCTCCTTTAACATTTGTATAACCGACGTGTAGATCAATTTATCATTAGCTATCCTGAAAGCTGCATATTTAGTATGTAGGTACATACAATGAATAGTTTAGGAGTCTAGTAGTTTTTTCCGAAATCCAGTTTCCAAAACCTATAATTACTTATATTATTGTGTTTTATAAGTGAAATTGTACCTCGATGATTGATTATGTATTTTAAATAAAGACTATATTTTTTTGTGATTTAATTACAAATGTATAGTTTTCAGATTTTTCCCTGTGCTTGTAGTATAGGGCGATGTTACTTACCAAATTTCATAGTTCTAGGTCAACGTGAAGTACCCTATGCATTTTGATTCCCCTGAGAGTGTCGAAATAAAAATAAGCAGAGTTCAACTACGTGAGACAACAACGTAGTTAAAACATTGGAAACAAAATGAGTCATGATTTATAACTAACACAAATCGAAAAATAAATTGACTTCGTTCATCAATTTTTCCCCGTGACAAAGTGGGTGATTTTAAATTAATGAAAATTATGAATTTAATTAATTTTTTTACAATTTTTAAATATTTGGGCATCATATTAAATAACTAACTTAGCATAAGAAATTAATAACACTAATGGATTGAACTATGTTATATGATTGAAATAAATGAATGTGAATAATGAAACACTCACTCATACCTACTTACTATTAATTTTATACTCCATTCATTTTACCTTTAAAGAAGTTGGCTTTATTTAAAAGAAAAGTAGAACAAAAGTGCGATTCCTTTTTTGAAAAAGTTTTTTTCTTTCAGTTTAGTGAAATCTTTAGTTGACCGACTATTGATAAAACCGCATTTTTTATAAAAACTGAAGCAGTATACGACAATATTGTTCCAGTCTCAATATTAACTGCCTCAATGTTAACACAGACTGGAATATATCACAATTGTAAAGTGTACTTTAGGGGAATAAACTTTCTTCAATTTTGTTTCTAAGAAAAAAACACGCCAAATACTGACTAGATCCTGGCTTCTTCGTCATATTAGGATTACCAAGCCCAATTCTTTTCCAAGACTTCTCAATATGAAAGACACAGAGATCACAATTGAAGGATTCCCTTCTAGTAATTCCTGGTTCCATCTACTTGAAGATGACAAATTTTAACATTGTCATCCAAATTATTTATAACTACTACTAGGTTTTATTTCGATAAAGCACTTAGAAGTTGGTTAAAAGTATCTCTAAGATTTATTTACATAGTTAGTTAGTTAATTAGTACCTAAATTAGTTGGTGAATTTAATGAAAGGGAATTAACAAAATTTACTTTTAAAAATGTGTCACGAATTTCGATTCTTCAACTAGATAATAAAAGTAATAAACTGTATTCTTTATTCCGTAATTTTTTACCCTTAGGGGTAGTACTCTTTCAAATTTAAAAGGGGCGGGATATTGTATTTCTAAATCGATCCATAACTTAGGAAGTTCTGAGAGTAAGAAACAAAAATTAAATACAACCGAATTGAAAATATGTTCCTTTTTTTAGGTCGGTTAAAAATGAATATTATTTAAAGATTTATTTTCCTTGGTTTCAGGAGATGAGTTCGTATTCCGCGACCCGTGGGGAGGCATCAGTCTCATGTTTGCTGCTAATCAAACACACAAAACCCTTATGCCCAATACTACATACGTAAGTATTTTTAAATGATTCGTTTAACAAAAGGAATGTTTTAAATTCCCTTCTACTAAAGTTACTAAAAAGAACATATTAGATTCAAACACTCAAAGCCTCAGTCTACAATGAGCTTTACACAATAGAAATAACATCTTTTTTTTAAAGTCCGGCGTTTTCCCCCTCAACTATTAACAAGGAGAAGCTTTAAAAGTGATGCGAAATTAAATTACTTTTTCCCTATTGTTAGCAACAACCCAGACGTTTATGATTTATAAACCCAACAATAAACTTCCTCCAATTATACTTTGTTACATTAATTCAGCACCTTAGTAATTTTTGCCTTATGAGACGAGTATGTCCGTATTTAAAGGGTGAATGTTCCTTCTCAAATGATAATAAACTGAAACTGACATTAGTGACATATTATCTTTTTAAATAAAATGCTTTGTAGTAACATAAAAACACATTTCAGGTAGCCAATGAGAACACAATGGAATGTTTTGCGGGAAGGCAAAAAATTGTGTTGTTATAAAATATGTTTTATAATTTTTTGTCTTTCTTCTCAGTAATTAAAATAACACTCAGTAAATTACCTACGTTAGAAAGACCTCTTAGTGGCAAATCACTATAGTGCTATAGATAATTTTAGTATTTGCACACGTCACTTGGGAAACTATGGCTGCCAGCTTAAGCTTTTGAGTCTATTTATTTTATGTTATGAATTTATTCAAGGAAGGTGCTACGGTTGAATAAGCTTAATCACAAAACATTGTCAGTTTTCTTTAGAGCCTTTTTTCCATAACAAGGTTCGATTTTTACGACGAGCGGGTGCCATCAGACCTCCACAGCCCAAGCACTAGGCGATTTCAAAGTCCTGTAGAAATGCTGTTGTGGGACTTTTCAGGACTCCAACTATCTGTAACGATTGCCACAGATGTTATGGCAACCTCATTGTCATTTAATAATTTATTTTAACCTATGACACGTTCTCGCTAAATCGTTTCTGTAAAACTCAGTTTCCATCTATTTCACGAAAAACCAATGAATCGCAAACTCTTACCGTCGATCCCCAGTTGTTGACTGGGCACAGATTTAATTCGGACCGATGCTGACATACGCGATATTGTAAGCCGGGGTGAAGTTCAAACGGTAGATACTCGTATCACCAGACTGTTTTTGTATTTCACTTTTTTGTTAACTGACTTTCTTACACAAATTATTATTGCGTTTTAGATTATAGTATTTATTCTGACTGCCTCGATGATGCATAGGTAGCGTATCTGACTGCTGTGCTAAGGTTCTCAGGTTCGATTCTCAGATAGGACCAAATGTTTGCATGATCTGCAAATATTTGTTTCTATGTTTAATATGTATGTTTAAAATAAAAAGTATATAAGTATTCTATAAGTCAATCTAGCTTTTATAGTACAAGCTTAGTTTGAAACTTGATGGTGTTGTGTGTTAGGTGTCCGAAATATTATTGTTATATGTGTAACGTCAAATACTGTAATTACTGATGGTAACACTACACCCAAGGTTCAGCAATATAATGCGTATTAGATTCAAAAATCTTATTATGTACGAATCCTTATTCGTTTACCTGTCAGCAGAAAATATAACTCAAAGTATTTCGTAATAGGGAGGCGTGACTACGGTCCATCCCGTCTTATATGAACTGGGGAAAAATCCCATAGGCAGCATTTGAACGGTATACAAATAAAACCTAGAGATAGAAAATGGATATTGACATCTGGATTCTAATGATAATAATATAAAGGAGAACGGCAGATCCTGTACCCGTAATGATATATAATGGATGGTTATGAGACTTGTATCGTTAATAAAGCGAGTCATCCTGACGATTGTTATGTAATTATCATATTTTTAGAACATTTTTTTTTTCATTTAAAAAAGACAACTCCCGCATTAGGAATATATCCTGTGTCGCGGGGGACTTTACAAACATACATGAAACGGACACAAAGAACATCCAGACTCAGAACAACAATTTGTGGATCACACAAAGTGTCGTCCCATGTGGGGTTTGAACCCACAACACTCGGCGCAGTAGGAAGCGGCGTGGCGACCACTTAAACCACTGCGCCATATGTGCAGTCGTGATTGAAAAAGTAAATAAATTCTTCTCAAATAATTGTTACAACTGCAATAACTAAACGTTCGAGTGTTGTTAACAAAACGAATTCCTACGTTTTTTAAACTTGCCATCTATAAAATATAAATTACATAAAAAACTATCTGTTTACATCGATATTTGTGAATGAACTCACTAGTGTATTTAGCAGTTAAAAACAAACATTTCTTTATTAATAATGTGGTCAACATTATTAATAAAGAAATACAGATTAGACGAAGTAATTAAGAAATGTTTATTTAAAATCTATTAATTATTAATGGTTCTCTAACTTTCCTTAAAGTCAATTAAATTAATCGTGAACATTATTTAAAAAAGTAATTATACTGATTTGACAGGATATTTTTTTAGTGACGAAACAAGAAAATCATAAACGAATAATTTTGAAAGACATCTAGATTAACTTGTCGACAGCAATGACAACTCGTTTGTGACAGCCGGCTGTCATTGGTATTGACATTAGTACAGCTTATATGCAAACTACAAACTGAAATAACTTTTGAACGAAAGTTCTAAAAAATTGAAAATTTAAACTGTTATTGTTGATGATATTACTAACCAAATAAATATAACAATAATCCCTACCATGAGATACGCACAGCGGTACAAAAGTCCCATACATGCCTGCTTTCCTACTTAAATAACGACCGGATGGCGTAGTGGTGGTGTAACGGACTGCTAATCCAAAGGTCGCGGGTTCAATTCCCGCTCAAGTTAAACATTTGTGTGCATGAACATTTAATGTTTGATTTGGTCTGGGTGTTTCTATGTATAATATGTATGTATTTACAAAAAAAAAAGTAAATATGTATTTATATCACTTGTCTAGTACCCATAGCACAAGCTCTGCTTAGTTTGAGACTAGATGGCGTTCAGTGAATATGGTAGAATATTATAATAAGTGCATCAATAAATCATTTTTGTGAGTGTTAATTTTGTCAATAATCTACATTAACTGTAGGTCTATAGTAAAGTTTAAATACTACAATTATTTATACTTCACTCTATAAGTATTTGCGACATATAGAGTTTAAAAACAATTATACAACTACTTATTAAATCGTCAAACCCTCTCAATACAAGATGTCGGTCACGAAAAACAAATTAGTATTACAAAGATCCATTTTAATGAACGAAAGGCAATACAAACAGAAACAATTTTCTTCGCTGATAACTTTTGTCATCGCTGTCATTGTTAATTTGTATTACACGATATAATTCAGTTTTGATGTTAGTCATCTTCAGTTCATTATAAATTACAATTTCTCGCTTCCCTAAGTTTCGGGAGCTTTAACTTGTTAGCTGAAACTGAAAGAATAACCTTGCTATTTTGTTTTTATTTGGCCTCATTTTCTTTAAAGCTATAATAGGAAATTGTATTATAGTAATTATTATAAATCTTTTTCTGTGAAGTTAATCTGTGATCCACGGTTAGTTCAACCTCGTTGAAAAGTCAGACAGGCAAAAGGTGTAAAATAGTGTTTTATTCGTTATATCTCATTCGTTATGGATTTCTATTTAAGGTCGTATGTTTATATGGTATAGAGGGGCAAACCAACAGACGTTTTACCTAATGGTAAGTGACTACTGTCGCCCATGGACACCTGCAACTCAAGAGTCACAATGGCGTAGCCGCCTTTTAAGTCCGTGCCCCCAGGGGATCATCAATCAGGGGAAAGGGAGAGTTTGGGCTCCGGTGACTGACTCGGACTTGGAAAAAACTACTTAACGTCGGTTTTCTGTGATACTTGGTATAGTCCGATGCAAACTTAATAGCGGTTCTGAAGTTACCTGCGCACATAGGTGTGCGCAGGTACGTACAGTCAAGCCGACTCGACTGTCCGTGTACAGGAATATGCGCGCATGTACAGTATACGGATATAACTCACACACTAAAATGCATGCATGTCGTGTGTCGTTCTGCCCCCGCGCTCCTTTACCGCTGCTGTCTATTACTGTGTTCTGCGCATCGAAACGCACGATGTCCCGAGCCGCCATTAATGTTGCATCGGACTATATCACTCCGGTCGAACCTATGCCGCAGCAAGGCTCTCTTACGATAATTGCATATTATAATGAAACGCCCAGAAGCCACCCACGGGATGAACAGGGGTAGTGCCACTCTATGTTTTTAATCCGTGACCACACCAAACGAATGCAGCAGTCTACCAAAGAGACCGTAATTACTTCAAATTTAAGAGAGAAATTCATATCTGCCTGCTATCTGAAATTTAGATTAAGCTATTGGACATGGTCAAGTAATTTTCAGTACCCCAAATAGTGTACTAGCCCGGTATTTATCTAAGGCCATACTCTTACTTAAGCTCACCATACTTAAGTTTAAACTTTACATCAAACTAATTATTACTTATCTACAAGCTCCATCAAGCACGATCCTTGGTTAGAATCCGGAGTATAATCTTAACGGTCAACTCAAGTAGAAAGTAATAAAACTTAGTTTGTTTGCAGCTAATTAAATATCTTCTGTTTACTTAAGCCTTGGATTAAATTCTTAATGTTGTTCCTTATGAATAAAGGCGGATTATGGGAAAACAGTTTTTTAGTATCTACAATTACATATGAATAATAGTAATAATAGACAAGAATAATAGTTTTAATAATTAAATTTATTTTTCACGTACATTTAAATTACAATTTTAATTACATTAAAGTTTTAATTAATACACAACAAAATAAATATTTCTCAATTTAGTATTTGTCTGTGTTCAAGAGTAAAATAAAAGTACACATTTTGCTTTTAAATTTTCGTATAAAATTACGCTACCAAGAGTACAGAACAACACAATTCATTACGTTTTCTAAGTAAATTCTTGTTTTACCAACAGCAATTTAATGAGCCTTCAGGTGGGTAATTTGTTAATGTCAATGAAGCAAAGAAATGGTCGGTATGAACCCACCTACAGAAATACTCAAGAAATCTTCCTTAGCTTAACCATCCAGATAATTTAAGCTACACAGTATTTATAGAAATGGTTCGTACATACAACGTACTCGCAGATATAGTTTTTGCAACTATTATTTTAGCACGATTTTTGTTTTTATTATTTGCCATAAATAGGGTTCGCACACACATAGTTGTTAGGTATTCTGTGTGTATTCTGTTTTAAAATGTCTTCTCAACCCGTGACGGTCTAGGTTTCTCCTCCCTGGATAGATATTTTAAAACGTGTGTCTATTGGAAATGTATTACACAAAGTATGTCCCGTAAAAGTTGAGTGTTACCGTATTATGTGGGTAGATAATTCTACCCTCATAATACGGTACGAGTTTAACCTGACTAAGCTAAGCTAGGCTTCCTAAAAAAGTACTTAGGTTAGCTGGAGGTGTAAATACAAATAGTGGATACCTGCTACCAGTGATAGGTCCCGAGAGACATACTGCTTATAACAGTAAACTTAAAGAGAGCCTCGTTAAAAGCATCCATAACCGCCGAACGTTAGGTTTTCGCCTACTCCGAACGGAAAAGTGTACACACTACTGTGTATAATATATAATACTATTATATTATATCGTATATAATATTAATAGAAAGATAACATACAGTTTATGTCTTTGGAGATATATAAAAGTGAATAAAAAGAAATAAAATGATAACTGATGAAGTCACAAGTATGCTATATTCTTAATTAATATAATATTTATAACATAAATGTATTTTTTACCCAGTAAATCCCCTAATCGTACTGCTTTATTCGGAAGGCAAATACCGTTCGTCACAATTTTGGTGAGTTAATGACTTTTTGTTTTAAAATAATTCTAGCAAGTTATCACCAATTTGATATCCTTTATTTCCTCTTAAATAAGCCATTATGGCGACAAAATATAATAGGCAACGAGATCGAAGTTTATTCTGCAGCTGTTGACTAACTGATTAGTATGACATTGAAAGCACTTTGTTATTTCAAGTTAGTGCTTTGGTGTAAATAACCTTTAATTCTCATACAAAGACCTAACAATATGTCTTTTCTAATTACGTTCTCTACAAGAAAATATTTTCTATTTCTCTTAAACAACATAACCTCAAGTACTCAAGTAATTCGCGAGTTGTCAGATCACGCGATCCCCATATTAGAGCAGTATCGAATTACGCGATCAGGAAATGAGAGCTAACATAAAACCACTCGTAAAACAGGTATCCGTACCATCGTAGTATCGACTTGGATGGAGTCGATTTGCGATTGTATTCGATGTTATTGTTATGGCATGTTTCATGTTTCTAAAGTAAAAATGGTTTTACAACTTAAGGATTCATGGTCAGATTTTTGAATTCATGGAAATGTGGATTACTAACGCAAAAAACTTAAAATCTGGGACATATTGTAGAGTTTTTGTTTTTGCACAGAGTTCAAAGCGGAAAGTGAATACAGGTACATAGATGCGGTACTATCTGTTATGCAGGTGTTGTTACTTTATACGAGGAAGAGTAAATTTACTGCATGTAGAAGTGTTTAACTATAAATTTTATCCACAGAGAGTGCTGGAACCAGCTGCCTTCTCCCTCTCTGCCGACCGCCGGTTCCTGTTACTTGCGCAAAACGTGCGGAAGATCCACCGCCACTCTTATCTCGCAAGATATACGGTCTACGACATACTAACTACGTAAGTATTTACTACAAATTCAATATATTTTAATACAGTTATACAAGTAAAACAAACGACCATCAATACACCAATATGTTAATAAGGTACTGTAAAGTGTTCATGCATGTCAATAGCATTTATCAATAGCTAACCAATGAATTACTTTGAGATATAAAAATTAGTTTCACCGTTTGACATACTTCGGCACAGTAGGGCCTGGCTCGACCGGAGTGGTACCAGGACCTCACAGGAAACAGGTGTTAAGCACTTCTTTCGTTGCTTAAAACCGAGTGAGGTTGCTATTTACCGGAGCCTAACCCCTGCCTCCCCCTGACTTTAGGAGGGGCTCGAAGAAGTGGCAAGAAACTTCTAACTCAGAAATTGCTGTGCGTTGCGGGCGAGTTTTCATGTGTTTTAGGTGGCCTGGGGGCGACAGATGAGGCCATCTGTCCCCTAACAGAAGTAGTAACTTGGATTTACTTCTAGGGTAAACACCTATTTTCCGGCTACTGGTACCCGAGACGGCGGCGTGAGGTTTTTGGTCGGTTGGAGACTGACATAACCACCCCACCAGTGGGTGGTATCCATGGGGATTTTTACATAAATAGAAATAAAGAAAGAAAAAGGGGGGTTCATGGGCGGCGGTAGTCGCTCACTATCAGGTGACCTGACTGCTCGTTTGCGTGTTATGTGTGTGTGTGTGTGTGTGTAATTTGTTGTTTCTATGGTGTAGGGGCACCATAGAAACAACATGCATGCATGCCATCTATTCTGCACATGCTTTAAAAGCAATAATTTAGCAAACATACTCCGTAGTATTTATCCAATGTTATTACTTGTAATGGCAGCACGATCAATCTAAAGGCTCTACCATACTCCCTAGGCACAATAAAAGTTTTGCTATGATTATGAGCGCGAGTGTAGTTAGGCACAAAGAACTTTCATCTTCGAGAAAATTTGTAGACAGGTACATGAGACTGTAATTTTAGATGAAGACCTTTGCTATTTTTGTTATCCATATTAATATTATAAATGTAAATGTGTGTCTGTCTTGTCCGTGTAGTGACGGATTAAGAATACGGAATGTGACTACCTCAATTCATCCCGTGGGTGTGGTAAGAGCCGACTAAGGGCGCAAAACAACGTAGGACACCAGCACTGCAAAAAGAAGGAAAACTTGACACAAACCTTATAGCAACCCGTCTGGCCAGCGTGGTATCGTAGTGGACTATTAAAGGCTGTTGATATGATGATGATGTGTGTCTGTCTGTTTGTGGGTCTATTACCTCTTCAAGTTTAAGCCGCTGAAACAATGTAGATCAAATTTGGTATAGTGTTATTTTAAGGACATGAATAGTTTTTATCCCCTTTTTTTAGGGGTGGAAGTTTGTATATTGAATCAATAATCGCTAAACCGATTTAGATGATTGGTATGGAGATAGTTTAATTCTTGAGGAAGAACATAGGCTATTTTTACCGCGATAACCGACATGCATGCCGGCGGAGCCGTGGGCATAATGGTGAGTGAAAAGAAGAGAAGTGGTTGTTGACAAGGCTGTTGACATACATTGACTATATTGTTTAATTAGTAATCGCGTCGCGTCGTGGGCACAGGAAAGAAATAAGGTGCTGCTATTTTTAGCTAGTACTACTAAGTTTAATATTTCACTAAAATTTGATGAGGATCACAAAAGTTTATACTAATATTGTATACTTCTCGTATAAGGAGATTTCCTTATATGAGAAGTATACAATATTAGTATAAACTTTTAAAGAGATCAATCAAAAAGGGGTGCTTTTATGAAAGTTCTTAATAGGTTTTTAATACTTTATCCTCTGTCTAATGAGTCTTGCCCTAACAAAATGAATTTTGTATGCTGACAACATATTACTGCTGTGTAAATAATTATTAAGCTAAATTAATAAATACTAATTTGCAAAAGCTTAATTCGCACAGAAATCTTCACGAGTAATCATTCGTTTATTATACCACACGATCCGACGCCGATAAGGCTTGCCTTATATTTACATTTTTATTTCATGTAAGTAATGTTAGAGCTTACGTAGTGGTTTGAAATACGTATATATTGGAAAAATAAATGTATTAAATTGCAAGTATCCAACGCTTTTGTCCACTAAAATTTTCGAATATTTTATTAGATGTAGGAATAGTGCGGTCACAGTAAAATACATATAACTTATGCTATATGATAATGTACTCATATGTTAGTTTTAGTAAGCGTGACTAAATTTATCAACGATGACTAAATGCATATCAAAAAAAGCCCTATACCAACCCATCTGGAGAGCGAGGTATTGTAGGCCTAAACCTCCCTTCTAGGGAGGGACCTATGTCCAGCCGTGGACAAATTGAGGCAACTGATAATGATGATGATGATTGACGACAAAATCTAACAAAGACATGACAGATCGGCAGCTCTTTGATGAAGGGACCCATAATTTGAAACTGAAAGACAAATTGACTTGAATTTCTTTTTGGATGTAGTCTACAATAACTGCATATTAGCTTAGGTGAATGGGTATTTTCAAGATTCAAACAATGACTATGAATGCTGCAATTGACTATGACAAATACTTAACCGTTACTGGCAACAAATTGTTCCATCGACCGTAAGTAAGCCTATGAAGCGAAACCCGTAAACAGCGCATCATTGCTAACTAACCTTACCACAGTCGTAAGTAATTTATTTCAGAAGAACAACTAATTACTTTAGTACTACAAATTAATGATGCGTTTTGTTAGAAGCAGTAGGTATACATTTAGAATCAAAAGAAAGGATTTTAAGCACCATGAATCATCATTAGTAACATAATTTAAATAATAAACAACTAATATCGGTAAGATAAACATAGAACAACCCTATAAAGACTCTCATCTATAAAAGGACCTTTCGCGAAAAGGTCACTTTAAAACAAAATATTGTATAAAGCTACTTTTGAAAAGTACTCCAGAGCGCAGTGAAAGTTATAATAACAATATATATACAGGTATACAGGTTGGCAGATCTAAATGAGTCATAGAAAGAGGGATCGTACAAAATAGAAATCTGTCTCCTGTCTATGCCAACGGTAATTTGGTAATACGACGAGAGAATACTATTTAAGATAGTTTAAAAATAAATATTCTCAGAGGCACCGCAGCATTGAAAACGCTCTACATAATTTCGCTACTGAAGCATTTTATAGCTCAGTCATAATTCTCAATCACTTGTCTTGTAATAATCCTCTCAAAATCCCAGAAACTCGTAATCGATCCTCTCAATCTCCTAGTAGTAATAATTATTCTATCTCCTGATAGTTAACTTGTCACTAGTTGATCATCTTTCCATTGTACCCTGAAGTGATTGTTCGAAATTGATTCGAATTCAACTAACTTTGACCTCGTTTAATTTGTACATTGTTTTGTATTGTGCAACCTCTATAAACGAAACTTTTTGTATTTCAATAGACTGCGGTTTTACGTTTTTGTATCGCGCTTTGTCTTTGGTTGGCCTTTGTGAATTTGATTTTCGGAATTCTAAATGTTTTAATGGGAAAAATAAACCGTCTCTGTTGTTTTGATATTTTAGTAAAAAATATTTCCACTGAAACGTCAATGTCAAATCTATTGTTTCAACGAAGCCGCTAATCGCTAACGCTATCAGTCATAAAATTTAATTTTATGAATTTAGACATTACCACAGGGAGGATACTAAATTTTCCTATGATTTTCAATCTTTATCGCTTGCAAAACAAGATCAGGGTGTTCTCGGTATTTTTTCTACCGACATTGTCCCGAGGTTTTTTCCTGACATCCCCAAAGACAGCCAACGGACCTTACCACCCGTTTCGTTCAAGGGTTACGATTTGAACTTTATTTTGACGTGATAGAGTATGTCGCTTACACAAATGGGCTGGCTCGATGGGAGTGATACCTCGGTCTCAAAGAAAATCGGTGTTTAGCTATTTTTTAGATACTTTTCACCAAGTGAGTGAGGTTACAGGAGGAGCTCAAACCGGGCGTGACGGTCCTGTCGGTCTAGTTGTTAGTGACCCTGACGCCAGAGGACGTGGGTTCAATTCGATGTCAAATAATTGTGTGATAAGCACATGATTGGTTCTGTGTCTGGGTGTAATTTATCTATAATATGCATGTATTTAGAAATATATAAGTATGTTTATCAGCAGTCTGGTTGCCATAAAATAGGCTCTGCCTAGTTTGGAATCAGAAGGCCGTGTGTGAGATATGTGATTGTTGTGTTTTATTAATAAAAAAGACTAAAAGGACGTCAACGAACTTGCCACTCTTGAGTTGCAGATATCACTCACTATCAGGTGACGGTCTGCTCGTTTAGTATAAAAAAACGGTCAAGTGCGAGTCGAACTTGTACGCCGAAGGGTCCGTACCTACCCATTATACCACCATAATAAAATTGGTATCATTTTTATTGGCTGCTAAGTTTTAAGTATGTGTGTGTGTGCTGTAATTGTTGAGTTGCTAACGTGTGGTAGTACAGGCCGTGGTTGATAGAAAAACTTGAGCTAGGAATACAATTGTTATTTTTGCCTAATTTCTTTTATTTTCTTTCACACAATAGCACAATTTTATTTATTTACCTTATTTGAGGTTGGTGCCAATTAAGCTGGTCCTCTAAATTGTTTGAGCGCCTATACAACAATGTTTGTATGGGGACACCCTTTAAATGACTTTTTTTTGACCTTGCTTTTTGCCAAATTGCGTGATTCTAGGTCAACGGGAACTACAATATAGGTTTTCTACCCAAAACCTATAGGATACTTCCGGTTGACCTAGAATTGTAAATTTCGATTCAAAGCAAAAGTAAAGGAAAAAAGCCGAAAAATAAAAATAGTTCAAAATTAAGGTGTTGACTCAAGACCTTGATTTTTATACACCTAATAGGAACTATAGACCTCAGTATCTGGTATAAATTTCAACTTGCTAGGTCCACCCGTTCTTGAGAAAATCGGTGGTGACCCACGGACAGACAGACGGACAA